GTCCCAGGAGATAATGACCCTCAGGCAGATCTTCATCCATCAGCGTGTGCTATACCATAAGGGGCTTGTGAGCCTCCGCCCCCCTCCTCATGTGATAGCAATGAAGTAAAACAATAAAAGTGAAATAAAATGAGGAATGACTCCAGGAATATATAATGAAACGAGTTTGGAAATGCCGGAGAACTGCTTAAATAATACATTGCACTAAAAATGAACCCGTTAGATTTTAATAAAACAAAAATGAAACTTGCTGTAAAAATTAACACTGGTCAATACATTCACAAGGCCCGACTCCCCTCCCCCCATCCAGGAGGAAGCCTTCAGGGACTGGGTCACACCATGAGCATACGCCACTGCCCTGAACCTGTAAGGCACCCTGCGGCTAATCACTACGCGTTACACCAAGTGTCAAGGTGGGCACCAAATGCAGGATCTAGTGCCCTGAGCAACATTACAGGCTGGCCCAGCTTCTTCAGGCCAGCAAGGTCCGGGTATAGTCCTAGGGTTGCCACCTGTCCAGGATTCACCCGGACAGTTCGGGTTTTTAGTTCTGTGTCCTGGTTTCATGGCAGCAGAAACCCGTACACAAGATGTTAGGCAGACAGGGGGGCAACCAAAATTAAGATAGGGGCTACTGGCCACCTCACTGAAAATAGTCACAATCTAGATCTGCCTGCGTCCTGTGCTGTACCATCAAGAAAACAGCTTTACCCACGTGTGTCTCATCTGATGTTAAAAATGATGGGAGTTCCATGAGAAACCTTTTCCACACGCAGGACAGGAATATGGCTTCTTGGCCTCGAGCAGTCTCTGACGTACAAAAAGATGGATCTCCGCTGAAAAACGTTTCCCTCACTCATGTGAGATCTATAATGTCTGAGCAGTTTATGAAGAAATCACTTCCCACAATCATTGTAGAACTATAGCTTCTCCCCCTGTGCGCAAACAATGATGACTGGAAATGTAGCGTTTCCGCGAAAAAGATTTCCCACACTTGGGGCAGCAATATGGCTTCTCGCCTGTGTGTACTCTCTTATGTGTATTAAGAGAGGAGCTTGCTGTAAAACATTTACCGCAATCAGAGCAGCAATATGGTTTCTCACCTGTGTGTACTCTCTTATGTCTGTTGAATTGGAAGCTTGCTGTAAAACATTTCCCACACTCAGAGCAGCAATATGGTTTCTCACCCGTGTGTACTCTCTTATGTCTGTTGAATTGGGAGCTTGCTGTAAAACATTTATTGCACTCGGTGCAGGAATATGGTTTCTCACCCGTGTGCATTCTCTGATGTTGGGTAAGATTGTATTTACTTGAAAACGCTTTCCCACACTCAGAGCAGGAATACGGCTTCTCCCCCGTGTGTGATCTCTGATGTTTGGTAAGATGGCACTTTTTTGAAAAACTTCTCCCGCACTCGCTGCAGAAATATGACTTCTCCCCCGTGTGTATTCTCTTATGTTGGATAAGATCACACTTTTGTGCAAAGCTACTCCTGCAATCAGGGCGAGAATAAGAAGCCTTCAGGGACTGGGTCCCACCATGAGCATACGCCACTTCCCTGGACCTGTAAAGCACCCTGCGGCTAATCACTACGCGTTGCACCATGGTGGGCACCAAATGCAGGATCTAGAGTCCTGAGCAACATTACAGGCTGGCCCAGCTTCTTCAGGCCAGCAAGGTCCGGGTATAGTCCACCAAGCAATCTGAAATCTGGGAAGTAGCCGCTGTGGCTGGGCAAGGCCATCGATGAGACAAAAGGTCCCTAAACTACCGCACATCCCCATCAGTAGAGAGGAGAAGTCCATCACCTAAGGACACTAGCAACAAAAAAAATGAGGATTTCCTGAAGGGGGAGGGGCTATATGAGGGTCCACACAACTCTGGCCAGTGTCCAATCACCTGATGATATCTGTCTCTAGATCTGCCTGCGTCCTGTGCTGTACCATCAAGAAAACAGCTTTACCCACGTGTGTCTCATCTGATGTTAAAAATGATGGGAGTTCCATGAGAAACCTTTTCCACACGCAGGACAGGAATATGGCTTCATTCTTGCCCTTGGGCAACTCTGATGTACAAAAAGATGGATCTCCGCTGAAAAACGTTTCCCTCACTCATGTGAGATCTATAATGTCTGAGCAGTTTATGAAGAAATCACTTCCCACAATCATTGTAGAACTATAGCTTCTCCCCCTGTGCGCAAACAATGATGACTGGAAATGTAGCGTTTCCGCGAAAAAGATTTCCCACACTTGGGGCAGCAATATGGCTTCTCGCCTGTGTGTACTCTCTTATGTGTATTAAGAGAGGAGCTTGCTGTAAAACATTTACCGCAATCAGAGCAGCAATATGGTTTCTCACCTGTGTGTACTCTCTTATGTCTGTTGAATTGGAAGCTTGCTGTAAAACATTTCCCACACTCAGAGCAGCAATATGGTTTCTCACCCGTGTGTACTCTCTTATGTCTGTTGAATTGGGAGCTTGCTGTAAAACATTTATTGCACTCGGTGCAGGAATATGGTTTCTCACCCGTGTGCATTCTCTGATGTTGGGTAAGATTGTATTTACTTGAAAACGCTTTCCCACACTCAGAGCAGGAATACGGCTTCTCCCCCGTGTGTGATCTCTGATGTTTGGTAAGATGGCACTTTTTTGAAAAACTTCTCCCGCACTCGCTGCAGAAATATGACTTCTCCCCCGTGTGTATTCTCTTATGTTGGATAAGATCACACTTTTGTGCAAAGCTACTCCTGCAATCAGGGCGAGAATACTGTTTCTCCCCCATGTGAGATCTGTAATGTGTGACAAGGTCTGCTTTACGAAGAAAACTTTTCCCACACTCATAACAGTACAAAGACTTGTCACCAATACAGACACTGGGTCATGTGACCTCTGATGAACAAGAGGATCAAAGTTAAGACTGGTAGACCCTTCACCACAGAACAAGTGACCACAGGCCTAGGCTTTTGGTGATAAGCAGCACTGGAGGGAGCTTGCAGAAGTATTTTCCTTAATCTGTGTCCTCATATCTGTGCTCCTGGAACTAGGAGTGACACCCAACCCAATACTGCCAGCTGAGCCCCAGGACAGGTATCAGTACAGGGAGGTGACCATTACCAACCTACTATTGGCTGATATCACTCAGATCCCGCCCTACTCTGGACCAATCAGTGTGCAGGAACAGAGCAGAGATAAGAGAAGAGTATATTATGGGTCACCTGTGCTGATCTTTGTAGGAGTGTCCTCCTCTTTGAATGTCCTCGTCATTCCGTCCTCCTCCGTATGTTGCTGATCATCCCTCACATACGTCTCTTCTACGTCACCCTCAACTTTCACCTTCATCAGATCTTCACCCTAAACCAACAGAATGGATGGAGTCACATGGAGGCACTGCGACGGTCACATGATCACCTGACTTCAGAAGAGGAAAACTCTGGATGGAGAAAACAATAGGAATATCATGTTAGAATCCCAGAATCCTCCTCACCTCTCCGGTCAGCAGGTAGATGATCTCCAGGGTGAGGTTTAGTATCTTCTCAGTCATGTGACTCCGGTCCTCCTCCATCTTCACTGATGTGGTCATGTGATCTATGTGGACAGATGGTGGAGAATTATCTGGACTGTACTGGTTGTATAATATTAGGATGGGGATATAAGGGGGTAATAGGTGGGCTGCTACTATTTTTTTTTTTAAGCATATAGATCTTTATTAAATTTTCCATAAATAATAATGGTCCAGTGAACATACATGAAATAGCATCTGCATACATGTCGTAATACATGAAGGAGCAGCCATCATTAGTTATTACAGAGACCATCAATAGTATAGAATCAAGGATGATAACAACCCCCGAAATCAAGCATGAATAAAACATGTCATATAAAGCAGTATTAACTCCTGGAGGAAACCTGAACCAATGTAGATCAGAAGAAGAGGGAAAAGTAAAGAAAAGAAGAGAAGTAGGTGCATGGGAGGGTATGTAAGGATAAAGAAGAGAGAAGAGGGGGTGTAATCGTAAGCATATTCCCAAGGGGATGTGTGTGGCCGGATGCAGTGTGGTTGAAGGGGACATAGCGAATCGTCAAAAGGAAGAATGTGGAATGTCAAAGGTCAAAAGTAGGCGTATACCTCAATTTGTATTGCAGGAGCGGTCAACCACGACTAGAGGTGTTCTGTATGTAGAACTTTCCCGTGCGTGATTGGTTAAACTTGGTGTCCAATTTGTCAATAAGCATGAGTCGAAAGAGAATGTCACGTATATCTGACATGGATGGGGTAGTAGCATGAAGCCAATTTTTCAGGATGGCTTTTTTAGTCGCCAGGATACAAAAATGTTCCCAGTTTGATATGTTAGGGTCCGCTACATGCAAAAGACACAGAGCAGGCTGTGGATCCCTATTCCCATGAGAAATGGAATTCATATAGGTCAACAACTGAGACCACAGTGATTGGATAGAGGGGCATCCCCAGAGTAGGTGGTTAAGGTCTGGGCGATGAGTTGCACACTTAGGACAATTGGTTAGCCAATCAGTTGCTGAAGGCGAGGGAACAAAGTTGAAAGCATAATATGCTCTATGAATTATTTTAAATTGGAGTTCCCTCCACGTCTCACAGACCACCGTCTTGCATACATTCCTCCATCCCTGGAGGAGGGTATCGTATGTATCCTCCAAACTGAGACCCAATAAGGAGGCCCATGGACGGACAAAGGTTGGGAAAGGTGGCCTTGTATCTTGTCTACCGTGATCCCGTATGGTCAATTTAATATCGGACAGGGACATTCTGGATGAAGGAGAGGCCCTTAACCGGTTAAATGTTAGCTCTGAAGTACTTGTAGATGGAAGAGAGATGTGATTGGCAATGAAACCAGAAATTTGTTTGTACTGTAGGAAATGGTGGTGTGGTATGTTGTAGATTCTGAACAGTTCGCCCTGGGTTAGGCAGGGACCTCGAGGGGAGAGCAGATCATGTATGGACCGAATGCCCATGGTGTCCCATATGTAAAAATTTTGTGACTCCCTACCTTGAGGGAACACTGGAGAGGATGTTATAGGCATCTAGGGTCATATTACTCCCTTCAAGCCCACTATTTTTCTCACTTCCCACCAGGTGATGATGGTGTCTTTAAGTAGGGTGTTCTGTTTCAGATGTGGGGGGAGTGCTTGTAGCGGGGTATGAAGGATACCCGCAAGAGACCATGGGGTTGCTAGTTGGGTTTCTAGATCATTATTGGTATAGAAGGAGGATCCATGTACCCAGTCCCTCACATAGCGGAAGTTGCTGGCTATGTTGTAATAGCAACGGGGTACTCGGCCCGCTTTGTCCAGCAGAAGTCGGAGCCCCAAAATCATTCTCATTATTTCATATCAGAAAAATGTCTTCTTTTCCTGTCCTGTGACTGGAGACAGACGTGTTTGTATGAAGAGCCAACAGGCCCAGTCCCTACCCACCAACAGACCCGGGTTCTGGAGGACCGTCCTGGAGTAGGAGGAAGAGGGGACATCGGCAATGATTGCTGAATAGTGTCTCCTCTGTCCTGGGAGGAGGAAGATGGAGCCACCACTGCGACACACTAAACTAAGTCCTCATTCACACCATAGTGTATCGGGAACGTGCGTCACATCCACACAAAGGTGCGCAATTCATCAACCGCAAATTTGACCAAAATTTGAATCTTGGAAATTGGTGTCAAATTTTAGAACGAAATCTGAATCTCATCCCTAATACAAGAGACTGCTAAGGTGACACATCTACAAAATGAAGACAATGTTCTGACCTCACAATCGGGTAAAAGTTCTGATCCTGAAGGGGTTAATATGTACCTTTCCACACAATATATATATATATATGAGTGGCAGTATCTTTTGGAGATAAAAGATGTCACAGTGACTATGGAGGATGGACATGAGGGTTCTAAATGTCAAAATAATATCTTATTACCTCCTCTGATGCCAGTTCCAGCAATGTCTCCTTTATACGTCCTCCTAATTGACCTCACCTGGAACTTCCTGTCTGCATGTGACATCACTTCCTGTCATAGAGACTTCCTGTCTCGGTATAGGTGAGGTCACCACCTTGTGGAGCTCAGAGGAACTGCAGCCTCGAGAAGCGTCTCGTAGAGTGAACACGGCCTTGTCATTGTTGCCGAGTGTCCCGGATGGTCATCAGTCACGCCTAGACCCAGCTAGTCCACTCAGCTGCCAAGGCCAGGCTTTGGCAATGGGCAGACATGTGACCCCCTTCCATACTTATAACACCCCACAAAGCCCTGAGAATGAGGGAGATGATCTGAGAGAAGTCCCCATGGGATTCTTTTAGGTTTCTAACACATCCTCGGTGATCTATGAGCATGGGGAGTGTGATATCATTCCAGCAATAGATCATTTCACCATTCTGATTTGTGTCCCGGTCATATTCGCCCCTTAAAGGGACCTTTACACTCCAAAATCAGATTCTACCAATGCCCC